CAGTGCTGCTCAGCTGCAGCGGCTGGCAAGGAGCAGCATGAAGGTGGGCTTTGTGCTCCCAGCCCTGGGCAGAGCACTCCAGAGACTTGCAGAAGCAGCAACAGAACTGTCCTTTTTTCCCCACTTTTTTAATAAACCCCTTTTTCTTATTCTGACAGCGCCCCCCCAGCCCTTCATGTACACAATTTACCTCTCCTGGTTTTTGATGAAAACCAGTAATTCAGGTGTGAAATATTTATGAACACACTTGATGGGGAAAAAGCTCACACAGCAAGATCTAACTTCTCTAGCTATAACAAAAGATAGACCATCTGCACCCACCCATGCCTCCAAGAGGCTGATTTCCCCACACAGCATAAGCAGCTTCATACTTAAAGTGTCCAATGCCAAAAATGCAAGTGAAAAAGTACCAATGGGCCAGACTAATATCCCCCAACTAACACTGCCATCTTCACAGCATTGCCTTTCTCTGCTGCTTCTTTCTGCTGCAATTAATAAGTGCTCTTTAGGACCCATGTAAAAAAAAATTTGATTTTTTTTCGTGACCTTTCTTACCCTTCACTATGAAGTTTTAAGTTAAGAAACCTAACACAGCACTCACACTGATGAGTGGTGCTGTTCCTCAGCTTTGTTCCAAGCCTTGTAAAAGTCCATTATTACGATTCCACAAGAAATAGAACCTTTTTTTTTTTTTTGCATCAGAGACCACATGATGCCAAGCTATTACGATTAATTTTGATGACAAACTGTATTACGACTGCACAGACCACATGGGAAAGTACTTTAAGGTAGCACCTCTTAGGATTTAGATGGAGCCTGCCTACAGTCCCTCATCTCTACAGTGAGAGAACTACAAAAAAAAAAAACACCAAAAAACCAAAACAAACAAACAAAAAGGTGTGGGGTGGCAGGCACAGAGACAGAAAAAAAAACTCTCATCCTAATTAATAAAGCACTGAATAAAGAGGAAATGCACAAAGGTAAACAGAAAATTAACCATTAGCAGCTTTTCCACATACCAGGTGGCCCATACATTCTCTTGAGCACATACATTCTCTTGAGCAATCAACAGACAGCCCCCCGAAAAAACAGAAGATGTTTTATTGTCTAAAGTGTTGCAATACAACAAATATGTGATCTGTACAAAGGACACAATAGAGCAGGTTTAAATACAATCAGGAGAAAGGAGTCCCCATATTCACAGTCCTCAGACAACACTTATACCAGAACCTGAACCAACAATTTAAAGATTCACTAAAAAATAAAAACCCAAACAAGTTGTTAAAAAATTTAAAGGTCTCCCAAGAGTCTATGGGTGTACTGTCTTACAGCAGAGATCATGGGGTATTCTGTGAAGGGTCACAATGGCATCTTATTGCCCTCAATGCTGATTTTCACCGCATGGGCTGATCTGCTTTTTTTCCTGATATCTGTGAATTTCCGCATCTGTTTGTCCAGTCGACTCACCCCTTTCTTAGAGGTCCCCTGGAACTTAAAAAATAAGACTAATAATTACCACTGAAAAAAAGCAGACGTCCCAGAGGTTCAAGAAAAGTGATGCATGCAAGGTTAAACCTGCAAGAGGGAGGTGATGAAGCCACTGGTTCCAACTGGTTGTGTGCATGTGTGCACGTCTGCAGCGTTCTCTCCCCACAAAAAGTGGATAAAATGTTTCCCCCAATCTAGGCATCGCATATATGGAGGCAGTTGCACTCACAAACATCACACAGGAAAGCTTTCGCACTGCAGGGATTAACAGCCACGTTAGTTGTTCACATGCCGGCTGCATATACAGTTTGGAACAGTCTTGTATCTGTGTTGGCTGGAGTTCAGTGTCAGAAATGTACTGCCCCGCAGTGTCACACAGACACGCTTCCTGGGAGGGGGTGGAGAGATTTTTAGATACAAATACACAGTAACTGAGGTGGATTGAGTTGACATAGCAATTCCAAACCGCAATTTATTTTAAAGGTCACTGATTAGTATTTATAAAGCAAGAGATTATTGGGGGAAAGGGGGTGAAGGGGGAAGCAAAAGAAATGCCTAAGCTGACCATACAAGTTCCTAGAACAGTTACTGCATTTCATCTCTGCATTTTTAACTGCAAAGGAAAGACTAAGATGACGCAGCAGTTATTTTTCACAGACTAAATACAGTGATTCTGTAAAGAAATGCCACCGAAGACAAACAGCAAGGACCTTCCAATCCATAGCCGTTACTTCCTAGAAAGCCATTTTCACTAACTAGATAACAGAAACAACAGATGATGGAAACTTCACACCGTTTAAGCTTGGGAGAACAGAGATACCCAGAACATGCTACTTAATATCTGACATAAAACATGTATTAGAAACTGAACCTCTTGTTCCCATCACTGAGGAAGGTGCTCCTGACACACTGATTTTAAATAAACTTTATTCAAAACCTATTCACTAAAATTACATCTGCAATTTCACAGTGATTTATAAAAAAAGTTTTTTTTTTTTTAAACAAATAAATATGAAGCTTAAACTCAATTGTTATCTACCACTTGTGCTAGCCTCCTCCTGTCTCTATTAGTTTGTGGCAGGCCTGCTCACAGAACTGAAATGCAGACTAGAAACTGTCGAGACAATTCCCACACTGATGTGTGTCATTGATTGACCTCACCCGACTCCGCATTCACAGCAGGGGATTCTTCTCCTCCTGGTCCGCAGAGGCCTTGTTCTCTGCCTCCTGTCAACCACCCCTCAAGTCTCACATCACTCAACTTCCTTCAAAGAGCAGGTGTGAAAAACACCTTACTTTGGACCAGTAAAACATCAGCCACAGATGTTGGTACACGGTGACATACGGCCCTACATGAAGGGCTAAGAATTCCTGTGTCAGTTCAGGTAAACCCAGAGAACCTAATTAAGTCAGAACAGCATTCAAAACGACAGGTGGTGCAAAGCTATTTTTGAGTACAGGTACTTTCATTTAACGCCTGTCATTTGTAACCGGAAGCTGTTGAGGCAGCTATTGTGGCACATGTTATGTGCTACAGCCTACTTTTTCTTGTACAAGTTCCCTTTTAGGTCACAGTACAGACATGAAAGAACATGAGAGTCTTCCAAGTTTAAGTTAGGGTGCACACACTCCTCTCCTGTATGTGCAAACTGCCAACAGCTGAAGCACATGCACTGTTCACACCTCCCTTGAGGGATACCTCTCAAACTTGGGGAAGGCAGTGTCATGGCTACAGGGGCATCCTGTTGCCTTCAATGCTGAACTTGATGGCCCGATGCACTTTGCTGAGTCGTTTCTGTTCAGCAAACCGTCTCTTGTGTTTTTCCAAGCGACTAATACCTCTCTTAATAGTCCCGGGCTAGAAACAATAGCTCAATTAATGCACAGAAGGAAAGATAACAGCAGAAAGCACAGTAATTATTACTTCTTCCATCTACATGTGTTCTATCATGTACTCTGCTTTCAAATTAAACTGTACAAGGTAGATGGATTAACCAAATAAAGCAAGGCAAAAGCCTCTACTGGCACTGTTAATGTATACCAAAACCTCGAAGTTTGGGAAAACTGGACTATTATCAGAACAACACGATACAAAAACTGGGAGAGGTACAAAAGTATCAGCGACACACTGAATTGTAGCTTTAGTTCAAAATACTCTAAAATGAAGAGGTCTGTAATCAGATTCTTGCCCTAGAGAGAAACCCTAGAACAGTTAACATGGAAATCTTTTTTTGGCAAGAGAAGCCACAATACCCAAGTGAAAGTATTTGATAAGCTTCCAACAGCCCACTTGATAGCAGAACTTACTGATTACTCACATTAGAAGAGACACTTAAAAGTACCACTGTGTTGTACAGTAACGACGGCTATAAGGTGACAGATTCCCAGGCTTAATCAGAGACACGGACTCTCTAAGCTACTCCCACATGGCAGTGCTTACCCTGGAGGACTCCATCTCCACATTCCACTTTGGTCTGACCACATAGTCCTTGTTGGAGGGCATTGGCACCCTCGCACGGGCACAGAACCCAGGGTCTCCGGGTCTAAGAGCCCTGCAGAAAAAAAAGATGTGACTGCTAGAGACAAATCTTATACAGAAAGTAGTACAAGCGATATATCATGTTGTACCTCTGAACCACACTGTATAACCGTTGCCTCTAAAACATCAAAACAAATTGCACATTGTTAGTGCTATTAAAATGCTATTTTCTAATCAAAAATTAAAAAAAAAAAATCCAACCTACTTTTCCTCTCCAGTTAACACTTTTTCCAGGTCCCTGCGGGGAGTCTGACCACCAGAACTGCAAGAAAAATAAAATTTTATGGGCACCTGTACACAGAGAAAGAGTACTTTTAAAAGACAGTCAAGTGTGGTAAAAGAAAGCAGAGAGGTCCTCACTTATTATCCTATTATTTCCCTTAATAGTTACATACCATTTTGTTTTTCTTGATGGAGCCTTAAAAAGAAAGGATTTCACGTTTCTGCCTGCTGCTCCTACCTGCTCAATCTCCTTCGCTGAGGCATCTGTTCCAAATCTCTCTGTTCCCTCTCTTCTCTTGTCATGCCTTTGTAGTTTGAGGTAAGGCCAAAGATGGGTCGAGACCATTCATCTATTAAAAAATAATAAAATATTGCTTAATGAATGCTAGGCCTCTGAAGCTTATCTTCATCCATTCTGGTGACCAAATACAGCTTTCAAAGTATTTATGCTTCCTTTCAACCAAACAAGTGATTTTTGATCTCTTAATATTTCAGGGAAATCCAGCCTTGTGGACAGTAAGAAAACGCTTTCATCCATGAAATCTCTGGCTGTTGCCTGCTCTTTTAGAATCTCTCTCAGCTGTCAGGAACTCCTGCACACCACAGTGAATGCTACTTTAGAAATATGCAAAATAGTTCCTAAAGAAACTAAGTTTATAATTAGTTTGCAGACATTCAGGATGGAATGCACTACACATGGACTACAGTTGTTTAAGAAGTAAAATTTCAGTCACCCAAGATCTCTCTAAAGTCCATGGAATAAACAGTCTTCTGGCAGCACCTTCCTGCCTCTGTAGCATATACATGAGGTCTGGACAACTAGCCAAGAGAGAATCTGGGCAAAATAAATGCCATCCTCTGGTTTAGAACAAGAAGGAAAGAAATAGGAAAAGGTGCATGAAGAAGTTAATGGAATAGCACTTGTTAAGAGCTCGACAAAGAAAGCAATTAAACAGATTAGTGAGATTCCTACATTGCAGACTTAATTCTACTACAGACGAGAGCAAAAAACATGCCACAGAGACTGATGCAGAAGTCAATTAATTATCAGTGAAACCTCACTGATGCAAGGCAAAGGGAGGTTTACATACTGATTAGTTTCCCTGCCATATCCTTGTTAGGTCTCGACTCTTTGGGGTGTTTGTAGAGGTACATCACAGCTCGTCCAATGCCACTGTGCTTCAGGGTCTCTTGGCTCACACTGGGCAGCTGCAGGGTGAAGGAAAAGTCAGAAAATGAAAGAAATCGTGTCTGAACATTAATGGTGTCACTGAACTTTGCAAAAAGATCAAAACCCACCTTCACAATAAGCTCAAAAAAATTAGCATTTTTCATTGTCCCACTAGGAACTGGTTAAAGTATCAAACACCAAAGCCTAGAGATTTGCATTAACATTCTTGGGGTTTATACACAAAATTAAGTAAGTTTCCAGAACTATTTACTCCAAATGCTCTTTTGCTTGTATTACCCAAGAATTGAGTTACTGCCTTCAAAGCATTATTTTCTAAAGATAGAAACTTATGTGCAAAAGCATTCAAGTAACCAGCTTAGCTACAAACGCTAAAAGTCTGCACTCGGTACAATGGGCTTTCTAGTGCACAGCATACTTCAATAGGACAGAAGGGACCACGAGAGAGAAAAAAACCTCAGGGACAGATAGCAAATGACTCCTCACTAAGCTTTGCACATAAACCTGAAACAGGCAGGGCCAAATAATCTAAATACAGGCACGACTCTTGCAAATTCTTAGCAAGGAGAGGTATTTCTAGAGCTTCAGTCAAATAAAGCTGGCTAGTGGTGCTGCAAGAAAAATTTCACTTCTGCTTCACTATCAGACTATGCCGTGCTTATTTTATGAACTCAGCAATGACTAATTAAAGTGACCACTCACAACGTATGAGCCACTGAGAATGAGGAAAGGTGAGTGACTAAGCAGTTTAGATGTATCTAGAAATGCCATAGCACGTAACTGCCTGAGAGAAGGAACTTTATGTCTGTAGTTCACCTGAGACTCTCAGAAATGGCTTCTGGCCAGCTGCTAGCAGAGCTATTTGCTTTGTTGTGAACATGGGCAAAATTTTTCTAACAACAATGCCTGAAGTTCCCTAGCCAAATTTTGTTCAGCTAGACAGCATGTCTACAGCACAAGACTCATTAAAATCATGCAACTTTTTAACAAGCACATCTATTTTGCAGTTTGCTTCCTTGTGTATTCCACTGCACAGACCACTGGCAGCAGCTGCAGTACATTTATCACCAAACATTTCCCTAAAGCACACAATTGTAAAACCATGGAGAAGCCATGAATCAAATATGGTTAAAAGTCAGTTTCAAACCTCTTGCAGGATCTTCAGAAGCTCCTCTCGTATTTTCAGTGCTGGCAGACTTCGGTCTGGAAGAGGAGAAAGCCACTCTTTGATGGCAGACATGACACCACTATCGATGAAAGTTTCTTTGAGGTCCTGCCTAGAAAGTTTAAAATTTAAAGAAAGTTAAAGTAAAGAGAAGCCACAAAGTCATATACTACATCACAATCTTAAGATGTGATTTTCCTTCAGCACAACAGTGCATTTGAGTTTGTTTCATGTCAAATTACCAGGTGAAATTAGGTAGAATTTTAGGGTTTGGAGGCCACCTAGCTCCAGCATTTACTTGGAAGAAAAAAAAAAAAAAGGCATTTAAAAAAAAAGCATTTCACTGCATACTCAGTACAAAGTCACTCCATGAAATCTACCAAATTCCCAACATTCCCCAAGATGTTAATTAACTGGGAGAATGAAAACTCACTTTTTAAGATGCATAACTACAGTTGGTAGTAATGTTAATTTCTTTAGTGCTGGTTTCTTTTGTGTATTCAGCTGTCGATCCTCCTGTAGGGAGTTGAAGAATCAGCACAAGTTAATGAAAAGAAGAATCAGCAATGCTTATCCTTAACAACATTTACAGGAAAGAGATTAATTAGTCCATTAAATAAGTGCAACTTTGGCAGGATTACACTAACTTTGCACCCTGCTCCATCTTCCTACAGCCCCAAAACACATTATATGATGACTTCTCTTCAAAAAGGGTCCCCACTTTAGTCAACATTTTCCTTAAAAGCACCACGTTAGGAGATGCCCCCTAAAATTACATTTTTTTTTTTCCATTTCATGATTTTGGTCGAATGCAATAAACTGGAGATCTGCAGAGTCCTCCACGCTAGCTATGCACAGACAACCTAGAAACCTTGAAAACAAAATCTCACTGGAACAACAGAAAAATAGCTAACCAAAACAATGGGAAGTGAGAAAAAAGCATGTTCACTTCAGCGAAGTATGTAACTGGATAACCTAGAGGTTTAGGATGAAGCATGGTCCAAGTAAAAGAGCACACAAATGTGCGTCATGCTAAAACAAAGACTGGGTTTCAAAGTGACCATCATCCAAGGACATAATGTCACTGTTCAGTACTTGGGCGCCCGTACCAAAAAGACCCATTACAATCACAGATTTACCTCCTGCTGTGGCAATTACTTTCCACGCATCTTAATACACTGAAGGCTCTTTCTGCACAATGTTTTTTTATTGCAAGGGAGGAGTTTCTTCTAATGCCCTTCTCCTGCTCTTCATGCCCCAGAATGGTTTGACAGGCACATGCTACAGAATTAAAGGCACCACAGTATTGGAGCTCAGCTCTTCCTTCCTCCAGCATTTCAAACTTTATGGCTTCATTTGAAACATTTGGATATCATCTTGTCCAAGAAAGACCAAGAAGTCTCAGTTGCCTCCCAGATCCCTACCTCCCTCTCCCCTTCCTCCCCAAACATGTTATTCTTCTTATCTTGTTCTCACGAAGATTCTCTTTTTTGTTGTTATTTGCAAGATTCCTCTTTCTAAAGTTCCGTGTATTCTCCCCAATTGGTTTGAATGAGTTTCGCAGTGCTGTATGTTAATTTTATTGCTACTCCAACAAAACTACGACCACAACAGAAGATACACAACAAAAGGTAAGACCCCAATAAACCTTGCACAGAAACATATTAAAGGAGAATCCTTGAAAAGAGGCAGTCTGCCAAGGCATAATTCTCCCATAATTCTGTTGCTCTACCATCATTTACCAAGGTACTGTCATTCCAACAGTTCAGAAAAGGGTTCTTCTCAGGAACAAACACCAAAGTACTACATATGGTAGTAACTGCATAATGAAAATAAAACATAGTCCCTTTCTCAGTGTTTGATATACTTATTCATGCAGTTTATAGCATACGTACACATCCCTCTTTATAGGACAGCTGATCTCATCTGATCAAAGTTTAGCAAGTTAACGAATTTTCATCTTTAAAATGAATAAATATTTTCTCCAAATTTCAATAGAAGAAATGTTTTAATTCTGAGTAGTAAAATAACATTTAAACAGTTATTTAGATATTGGAAGCTTTCCGTAGCGTACAGATTACTCCTCCTGAGTACCAGCCAGATTTCTGTATTTTACTGATTACAAGATTTTCCCATGGAATGGAACTGGATTTTAATGTGTCTTTGGAGCCCAGAAAACTCACCTCAGCAGCTTCATTCATCTTCACAATCATAGCACTGACCACATCATCTGCATCACTAATAAAAGTTCCACCATCACGGTTTCGTCTACGCTTGCCACTCATACTCTTCTTTCGTTGCAGCATCATGTCAAAATCTGACATGAAGTCCATACTGAAATGCAAGAAGAGAGTTCGCTGATGGTTGATCTTACAGTCTTTGTATGAAATAATTTTGGATTTCTGTAGCACAACCTTTTAAAAATTCTCCAATAAATCTACAGGCATCATGTCTCAATGTCCCCGTAAGGTAATTAGTTACCCTCAGTACTCAAACTGGGAAACTAGCAAAGGGCATCAGTCGCCCCGAGATGCCCTCAGGAGTCTGCAGGACCTTGCTGAAATAGCTAACGACATGCACAGGTGTAAGATCCAGGGTTCAGAACACGGTAAAGCTGTCACTGAAGCTGGTGAAGATTCATCTTTCCTGTACCTGCAAAGCACCGCTCTGATGTACTGGAGCAGACAGGAAACAGGAGACATGCTGATGGCAAGTCCTGCCATACCTTATCCCTTACACCAGCAGAGAAACACACCTGTGACCCCAATGCTGAACTGCTGAAAGCAGAGTTAGATGCTTGTTTGATTAGATATTCATTTCACCCAGGTTTTGGTATGAACCATGAATTACTGTTCTCTGAAGCAGCAGCCCAGGTAATCTGCTATGGATCGCCAAGTGACTAACGGTACAGGCTGACAGAGGACCTTCTGTCATAGTTTATGAGAACACACTTTCTGCAGAAACGCAGTCCCATGTCTTTCTAAACTGAGTCTTTAGAGGAGCCCTTTCACTAAAACCTTGCATTTGCTATTAACGAAGCAGTATGTAACAGACTGACTTACTGCTTCCCTCTTTTGATGTTATCGTCAGAGTCCGATTCATCTGCTGTCTCCTTCATGTCTGCATCACCTTTCTCCTCCTCCAAATCTTCCTGGTTAAAACCCTGATGGGTGAAGACAGTGCAAATCAGTGTATGGATTAACTGAGTGTATGGATTCTGTGACTGAGCATCTACTCAGGCACCTGACACTGATAATCAAAAAGCTTCAGGTAAGCCTGCAGAGGATCTAGAAGAAAGAGGAACAAAGGCTTCCTAATTCAACTTGTGACTTTCACACCAATAACTCTCCCAACAGAAAAGCTGTAAACATTATTTAATCCAAAGACTACCCCAGTGAGCCAGCATATATAAAGCTTCCCTCCTGATACAGCATATCCTTAAACATGAGTTCAAACTCGAACACTCACTCTGGAGTACCTTCCCACGAAGATTAGATCTAGCACGTGAACAAGAGACATCCACATTTACACTTACTGTAAATTCCTCTTCTTCCTCATCACCAGATTCTCCAAATATATCTGCAATCAGGTTCCTGTGAAGGTAACAGTAACATTTACCTATTTAGACTGCAACAGTGAGAAATGCATTTTCTGCAAAATTTCTAATGACTGTGTGGAGATCCACCTTTCATTCTGCTACCTACTACTAACCTTACTCTTCACACCACAAATGAAGGTGGACAATCATTCTCTGGTTGGGATTCATCCCTTCTCCATTCATGACCAGTCTCACCATCTGCAACCCTGAAGGAATTCACATTCCCAGAAGCACTTACTCTTGTTCATTTCCAGATTCACTGTCGCTGCCAAACAGATCTTTCTCTTCTGTTTTCTTCCCAGCATTCTCTTTTCTTTCTTCTTCTTCTTCACTATCTGACACAATATTTTTCTTCCTTTTGTCAGATTTCTCTGAAACAGCATCACTATCTGATTCTTCGACATCAGAAAGGATTCGTACTTTTTTTGCAGCTGCCAACAGAAAGGAATATTACTACATGTCCTAGTAACAGAGGTGACAACTGGTACTCTTAAACCACTATGCTCCCAAATTCGAACTGGACAAGAGAGAAGCTGACTAGACTTCCTACACAAAATCACTGCCATTTCTTAAAAAACTTATCCATTCTAAAATCTGTTTATTCCATCAGTAACTGAAATCTCCATACACTGCCTCCATCCATAAAGGCTTATCATTTCAAAACTGACTCTAACCCCCAGTATATGGAAAAAAACCCAACCACCAAACAAACCAAAACACAGAGGAAAAAATTACTAGAGAAATAACAACAAAGTAAAGAAACGACTAGGAATGATCAACGCAACAGCAGATACCAGTATAAAGCAAGACCACTGCAGTCTTCTGACTTCTATTAGACCTACTTATCACTCAAAAGTATAAGATACACATTCATACAGAAATGCAGTTAGAAAAATAGCCTCTACAAATGCACTTGTGCTCTAAAACCAAATTTGCTTTATGCTTTCACATTTATCTTAGATGCTTTCTTCACATAAAACCAATATTTAACACTACTGCTTGTCACATCACATTTTTATTTTCACACTATAGATCCTTACATGTTTTCTCATTGTCATCCTCACTGTCAGAAAGAACAGCTGTTTTCCGCTTTACTGTCTTCTCCTCCTCCTTCTCTTCTTCATCACTGTCTGGTATTTTTCGTCTCTTAGGAGCTTCCTCTTCACTGTCAGA